CAGGACCCTGGCACTCAGGTCCCCCGTCCGGACCCAGGACCCTGGCACTCAGGTCCGGACCCTGGACCCTGGCACTCCGAGCAGGACCCTGGCACTCAGGTCCCCCAGCAGGACCCTGGCACTCAGGTCCCCTAGCAGGACCCTGGCACTCAGGTCCCCTAGCAGGACCCTGGCACTCAGGTCCCCCAGCAGGACCCTGGCACTCAGGACCCCAGGCAGGACCCTGGCACTCGGGTCCCCCAGTAGGCCACGCCCCTCCTGACCTCAGTTTCCTCAACAGAATGAAACCTGCCTGGCGCTGAGGCCAGGGAGTTAAATGAGATGATAAGGAAGAACAGGCCAGGGGTCGGGGAGGGGGTGCCGCCGACCTGCCCCTCTCCAGCGGCTTCAGCCACACGCTGGGGGGCAGGGGACGTCTGGGAGCCCCTGGCTCTCATCCCCGGGGGACCAGGATCTGCTGCCCTGCCCTGTCCTCCTGCTCCCGGGCTCTGCAGGCCTTAGCGTGGCCCAAGAGCCAGGGCACCGCGAGGGGACGGTGGAGGACCCGAAGAGACGGCTCGTGGCTTCAGTCGAGAAGGGACGAGATGACGTGGTGCCAGGACTGTTGCAGGGTCTCCAAAGCAGATGGACAGGCCCACCTGAGCGGCCCGCTCCTGGCTCCCCGCCACGCGCCACCGGAGGGCCGGGAGGGGACGGGGCCTGGGCAGCTGCTTCCCTAGCAAAGTCCCCTGACAGGCAGACGGCGGGGCGGGAGGCAGGGACGGCCTTGCCGGCGCCACGGGGGTCCCTGTTGGCTTTGCCTCCATCGGGGGCCCGCGGGAGCCCCGACCGCAATGTACAGGGTGGACCCTCCCCGCCAGGCGGTCCCCACCGTCCAGGATGGGAGAGGAAGGGGCAGAGACAGGGGGCAGACGGACCCAGGGCGGCTTCAGTTCCTCCCTCTCAGGCACCGCAGACCTACTGAGTGCGCGGAGCATCGTCCGTCTTGTTAGTGAAAGGAACAGTCACAGGAGAGAAGTTGTCGCTGGTCCCGTGCACAGGGACGGTGTCTGTCCCCACCCAACCAAGGCGGATGGACGGTCTGTGGGTTCTCGGCCTCGGGGAAGAATGCTGGGTGGATGCCAGGGAGAAGATTCTAGAAAAGAGCATCATCCAAGGGCCATGGCAGAGGCTGAGGAAGAGGGGAGGCCTGTCAGTGTCCTTGTTCTAGGGGGCCACAGCCTGCCACAGGCAGAAGAGGGAGGTGGGGGAAGAACCCCTCATCGGGGGCCTCCTCTGCTCACAGAAGTGGGGCCCGGGGGGCAGAGGCAGGAGAGGGACCGTGCTCCCACATCACTGGAGGGTCCCCAGAGAGTGCTCAGAGGGCCCACCCGCTCCTCTGCCAGGCTCCCTGACTCACCTTCTCCCACACTGAGCGTTCTCCCAGGGGTCCACCAGCTCCCACCCATGTTCCCATCTGGCTGTGTGAACCTCGGTGAATTGGTCACCCTCTCTGTGCTTTCAGTTCACTGCCCCACCCTAAAAACAATGTAAAAGAGAAGGAGAATTGAGAAGGGTTCTCCCACCCGGTGAGTAGCGAGTGCCCTTGGTACCAGAGAACATTCAGGGTGAAGCGAGCAGCCTCTTCCTGTAAGTCCTTTTAAGAATGGGCTGGAGGTTGTGGACCGGGAGGGTGAGCTCTGTCATTCATCCGTCGCTCATTGACTCAGGCGGCAGCGATTTCTTAGCTCCCATCTGAAGTCAGACCCCGCTCCGGGGACGTGGCACAGCAGGAATAAGCCCGGTCGGTCCCCAGGGATTCAGCCAAGTGACCGGGACCTTCCTGGATGTGGGAGGCTCTGCCAGAGGCCCCACAGGGGACTGGAAAGCACAGAGAAGGGGGTGAGTCTGGGGGGACATGGAAGCTTCCACTAAGAGGCCCCTGAGTCACTGCTGGAGAGACGAGGAACAGTGGGCCAAGCCACGTGGAGTGGGCGGGAGGCACCGGGCGGCCCTGACGCTGGCCGAGGCGTGGAGTGTCCTCCTCCCGGCCTCCCTCCAGCCCAGCCAGCCCGACCCCTCGGCCACACAACTGAATGCACCGGTGGCCCCGAGCCACCCATCCCGGGACAGGAAGAGCGTCCCCAAGCCTGGGAGAACCCCACGGGACAGCGAGCTCTTCCTGGGTGACCCCGCCACCTGGCCCTGTCAGCACCACCTGGAGCAGCCCGAGGCTCTGACCTGTGGTGACTTCCACGAATCCCAGAAGGGAGATGACGGTTCCGTCCCGGTGCCCACCCGTGACCTCCGCTGCCCACCCGTGACCTTCCCCCAGGAAGCCGGCCCCGTCCTTCCCTTCACTCATCCGGGGCGTCTCTACCCCCAGCCCCACACCAGGGACCGCGCCAGGCGCCAGGGGAGAGGACCAAAGGCAAAAGCCAGCTCGTGCCACCCCTCTTGCTGTGCCCGGCCACCTCTGCAGGGCGTGATGGCAGCCGGGAGCCACGGGGGCGGACGCTGGTCCTCTGGAACCTTCCCGGGGAGCCTCCAGTCCACGACGAGACGGGGCCTGTGCCGGCCCGTTCCTCCTGCCGCTCAGACTCCCGGCCACAGGCGAGGCACACGCATGGCTGAAGTCCCTCCGTGGCCCCTGGCCAACTGGCTGCCACTTGCTTATTTGGCTTGGAACAGGAAATGCATTTTTCTACTATTTATACTGCTGACCTCAGGAATAAACTAATTACTGCTCAAGGCCGTGTTCCCACTGTCCAGCTCCCATCTGTGAGCCCTGCCGGACCCACCAGAGGCTGCCAGATGGCCCTGTGGACACTGCCGTCCTGCCCCCTGGGTCTTCAGGGGAGAAGGCACTGAGGCCACAGGTCACCTCTGCTGGGCTTCAGAGCCAACCCAGGAAGGTCTGCCGGCCCCTTCCCTCGCCTCCACCAAACCTCTTCTCCAGGCCTCGTGGGTCTGTCCATCCGCACGATGGAGGTGTGCGGATGCTGGGCTCCAGGGATGTCAAATGGCACCATGTCTGCAAACAGTGACTGCCCCCGAAGAGCCATCTGCCTGGACGGCCCATCCCGGAGGCCAGCCTGCTCAGTAGGCCCCACGTCCGGGTCAGCAGCGGTACCAGGCTGATGTGCCGCGGACCCCACGGCAGGCTTGGTGTCTTGGAGTGTGGAAGCAGCCCCCTGCCCCCCTCAGCCGGTGATTTGGACACGGGCAGGCAGGTCGGGCTCTTCAGAGGGTCAAGAGACAGAAACCGAATCGATGAATTGATGGATAAGGGCGATGACGGCCGACTTCAAAAGGATTTTAAGTGGTTTTTTTTAAAAAAAAATTTACTCAAATGAGCAACTCATTGGCTCGGAGGTCAGAAAACCTATATAAAGGACAGGAGAGTAGGTATTTTAGGCTCTAAGAGTTCTACAATCCCTGTCATAGCTACCGAACTGCCACTGTCATTAAAACCAGCCACGGATAATGCATCAATGAATCAACATGAATCCTTCAATAAAACTTTATGTACAGAACAGGTTATGGGCCACATTTGGCTAATTCTTCTAGTTGAACAATCAATAACCTTGTCAGTGTCCTCGATTCTTCCTCATCATCCCTTCAGCTGATGGATCCCCAAGTCCTATCGATTCTGCTTTCTATGTGTCCCCTCCTCCAACACCACAGCCCCGGCTCCCGGGCACTCTAACAGCGTCTGTGTCAGCTTTCCAGCACTATTAGTGAAATACCTGAGACAATCCACTTAGGAAGAGAAAAGGTTCATTTGGCTTTGCAGTTGAGAGCTCCCAGCCCACCATCGGTCGGCCCCAATGAGGCAGCGCATCATGGGAGTGGGGGCATGTGGTAGGCCAAGCTGCCTACCCCGGTGGCCAGGGAACGAAAAGCAAGAGGAGAGGAGCCGAGGCTGAAGTTTCACACGTCTGTGTGTTACACAGGTCTCTGGTCATGTGGAAAAGGCTCCTCTCTCCATCGAGTTGCCTTTGCTTCTTGGTCAAACCCAAGTTAACCACATTTCATGGGTTAATTGATGGGCCCCTTCCTGCTCCATGGGCCTGCTCTTCCCTGCCAACCCCGTGCTGGATTTTGCCACTTTACCCTTCATCTTGAAGTTGGGCAGTGTCCGTTGTCTGGTCTGTCACTCAGCATCCTGTTGGCCTTCTCCAGATGAACTTTACAGTCAGATTGCGGGGATTTTAACTGGGATTGCACTGAATCTATAGAACACGTTTGAAAAAAACAGACATGTCAACATTATTGGGTATTCCTATTCATAATTGCGGACTCTCCATTTATTTAGATCTTCTCAGATGTCTTTCATCAGAGTTTTATAGTTTCCCTCACATAGATTTTTGTGCATACTTTGTTAGATTTGTACCTAGGTATCTCATTTTTTTTTTTTTGGTGCAAATGTAAATAGTACTGTGAGTTTCATTTCAAATTCCAATTATTCACTGGTATTTAGGAGGACAATTGACTTTTGCATGTTAACTTTATATCCTGCAACTCTCCTGTCATCTCTTGCTAGAATTAGTCCCAAGAGTCTTTACTTCTCTGGGGTTTTCTACATAAACAGTCAAGTCATCTGTCAGCAAAGATGGGTTTTCTTTCTTCTCCATCACATATGTTTATTTCATTTTCTTGTCTTATTACATTATCCGAGAGCCACGTTGTCATGGTAAGTAGCAGTTGCAAGAGAGGACATTCTTCCCCCTCCCCCCGAGACCAGGATGAGTGTAAGAATCAGATTTATTCGAGTTTTCCTAGAACCCGAGCTCCCTCAGGGCGAGAAGGGACCCAAGAGGGCTGCATGAGAGGACTTGTTACCTGTTCCCCATCTCAAGTGAAGAGCATCTAGTGTCGCACCGTTAAGTATGATGTTGACTAAAGGCTTTCTTAATCAGACTGAGGAAATTTTCTCTGTTTCCAATTTGCTTTTTTTCTTTATATGAATGATTGTTAATAATTTTAACACTGACCTTGGACTCGGCAATGAGTTGTTAGATACAACACCAGCTGCGTGACCCCTTAATGAAGAAATTGACAAGCCAGATGTCACCCAAATTAAACAGCTCTGCTCCATGAAAGACACCCTTTAGAAGGAAAACACACACACACACACACACACACACACACACACACAGGAGCCACAGACTGGGAGAAAATATTTGCAAAACAAATTTCTGATAAAACAAAAAAAAAAAACAAAACAAGAGAAAGACCTGAACAGACACCTCATCAAAGATCACAAGATACAAAGAAGCACATGAAAAGGTGCTCCATGCTGTATGCCACCAGGCAACTGCAATTCAAACAACAATGAGATACCACTGTATACCCATTAGAACCTCTAAAATCTCAAAATCTGCAACACTAAATGCTGGTGGGGGTGCGGGGGGCACCCACTCTCCGGCGTGGCCTTGTGCCAGGGTAGGGGTGCCTTAGCAGACAGCCGGGCAGTTCTTACCAAGTCAACAGTCTCCCATACAATCTAGCCATCGTGCTCCTAGCTACTGACCCAAACGCTCTGAAAACCTGTCCCAACCTGCACACAATGTTTACGGCAGCTTTATCATCATGACTTCCAAAAAACTGGAAACAAACAAGATGTCCCTCCAAAGGGGAATGGATAAGCAAACAGCGGCACATCCCCCGACAGAATTTCATTCAGCAATAAAAAGAAATGAGATCGGGCCACTAAAGAATCTTGAGTGTGCCCGGCCATGGTGACACACGCCTGTAATTCCAGCGGCTCTGGAGGCTGAGGTAGGAGGATCGCAAGTTCAAAGCCAGCCTCAGCAACTTAGGGACACCCCGTCTCAAAATGAAAAATGAGAATGGCTGGGGATGTGGCTTACTGACGAAGTGCCCCTGGGTTCAACCTCTAGAACCAAAAAAATAATAATAATAATAATAAGTCTGAATAATTTCTGGAAAAGGAAAAACTATGGGATTGATGAAAAGATGAGTGTTTGCAGGCTGGGGCTGCGCTCGGCGGTGGAGCACTCATGCACGCCTGGGAGTTCCATCGGTGGGGACCCGTGTGGGAGGGGCTCCATGGTGGGGGCTCAGGGGCTCAGGGGCTTGGCAGTGAAGCTGCTCTGTGTGCTGCTGCGTGGGCTGGAGGACCGTGGCTCTCGGTGTCACCAAACCATGAGACGGCACAGCACAAAGAGCGAACCTAGGGAGCTCCCGGCAAGGTCGCTAAGAACAAGGTCAAGGCCCCCGGGGGTGCTCAGGGGGAGAGCGCTTGCCCAGCACAGTGAGGCCCTGGGTTCAACCCTCAGCACCACAGAAAAATGAAAAATAAAATAAAGTTATAAATAAAGTTTAAAAAAGAATAACGTCGATACGGCCAGCGACACTCACCATCATACCCCACTACAGCACGACGGCGGTAAGAGGAAAGGGTGTGTGTGCGCGTGTGTGCGTGTGCGTGTGCGTGTGTGTGAACTCTCTGCACTATTGCTCCTTTGTTCTGTAAACCTAAAACTGTCCCAAAAACTAAGGTCTATTAAATCAAAAGAAAAATGCGGCAGGGACCGGTCCTTCCTCCTCTGGTACAGAGGTCATCGCCACCTCCCTCTAAGGAGGGCCATGTCACGGCGCCCCCAGAGAAGAGGAAATGAAAGCTTAAGGGGTCGCCTACATGGTCCCACAGCTGCCGAGGGACAGGACCAAGCTTTGATGAGTGGACAGGTGGCCAGATCACCCTGCGGGTGTGGGGCCCGGAAGCAACAGTCCTGTCCACCACAGCAAGGACCTGCAGCCCCCACACCTCACACTTGCGCTCAGGAGTCCTCGCCTTCCACATGAGGAGACCCCGAGGTGGCTGCAGAGGCCCTCTCCTGTCCACTTGGCTCTGCACCAGGAGGCGAGTGGTGGGCGCAGCAGAGACCAGGGAGGGTGGGGAGGTCGGCTTTGCCCCAGTTGCCATGGCACCAAACAGACGGGAAACACCCAGTGTGAGCCCAGCCAGGGGCTCGGAACCTGTGACACCAGGCCCGGCCACCACCCTCCATCATGACCGGGACCCAGGGCTCAGCTCACGGCGGGTGACAGCTGCCATGGCGGCCAGGCGTGGAGCAGAGGGGCCCGGCCCTGAGGACCAACCAGGAAGCTCATCTCAGACAGGAAGGTGGGACTCTCCAAGACGCCCCCCCCAGGGCCCTGAGACTCGGGCCAAGAGCCTGAGAGCCACCAGGGAAGGAGGACACGTGTCCAGAGAGCCACGGGGAATTCTGGGACCAGGGCCACAGACCCCGGGCCAGAGCCCTGGGGTGGAAACAGGGAAGATGAAGGACACGGCGGTGTCTGAGATGGTTCCTTAGCCAACGGAAGGGCCTGTCCCGCCTGAGCTGCTTAGGGCGGTCTTGCTTCACTTGATCCTGCTTAAACTCCCAACAGCCCCGAAAGATGGACGCCCAGGCCCCTGCTGACCGTCGAGGACCTCCCCCACCCCGCCAGCCCCTCGGCCGCCACCACCCCATGCGCCAGCACAAGGAGGCCAGCTCTGCTCTCCAGGAGCCAGATCAGTGAGCTGGGCCCTCCACCCACCACCTGGGTCTCACCACCAATGGTCACTGTGACCCCAGGGGACCCGCCTGAGGTAGGTCACTGAGCATGACCCTGAGCCTGTGTCCCTCCAGGCAGGAAGCCCTGAGGCCAGGGACTGGAAGGGCCAGCACAGAGTCCCAGCTCGGCCACCGGAGGCTCCATGATGAGGACCCAGGGCCTTAAACTGTTCGTACCTTTGACAATTGTTTCATTTCTGGGATCTCTCAAAATCCCGTGCCGAGATGTCACCGCGGTGTCATCCAGAAAGCAAACATTTGGGAATAACCTGAGTGTCCACTAACACAGACGCGGCTGACGGAGCTGTGGCGCACCAGCCCCTAAGTGACCTCTCATTGAAACTGATGTCTATACAGAGTTTGAAACAACCCGGAGAGCTCCAGGGGCCGGGGTGGCTTGCTCCGTCCAAAGTGTGGCTTTAGCAGGAGCGAAGGGGCCCTGGGTTCAATCTCCAGCCCCACCAAAACAATATAAAATAAATACGCCAATAAAGTGAAGCATAAAGTGGATGCGCAATAGGATCCCAGCTATGTTTTAAAAATGTACTAAAACACCAGAAAGAGACGGGCACCGTGTTAGCACGGGGCGGGGGCGGGGCGGGGCGGTTAAATGATTCCAGAAGAAAACACCGTTCCCGCGTCTGCATTTCCAACTTGTCCTCCTCTTACTCTATAAAGGGAAACATCAAGTTTTTGTGGTTTTTTTTTTTTAACAAAATACAAGAGGGGTCAGAAGATCCACTCCCCTAACAACGTCAGTTCTCCTCAAATTGATGTGGAAAGTCAACCAAACCTCAGCTGGGTTTATACGACGCCCGTCCATCACTGGATGAGGGCGGCGGAGGGCGGGGGTGGCTCCGTCCACCTGCATGTCCTCTCCGCCCCACCAGCAAACCAGCAGGGCTTTGGCGCTAAAGTCCTCCGCATGATCCCTGCCCTATGTGTGCCTTGTCCTGTCACCTGCCATCTGCCACTGTGGCCTCTGGACTGCTCTCATGCCGCATGCCCTTAACTGTGCTGATGGAGAACAAGGACTTGGGGTCCCTTCACCCAACTTCACCCTTGTTCAGCAGGAAGCAGCTTGGAGACGCTGTCGGCCATTTTTCCATAGAAACAGAATCTAGAAATGGAGTGTGGGGAAACGTAACCGTGGTCCACTTTGTTCTTTGAAGGTGGCCCTTGCCGCTCGGCCACTGCAGCTTATTTTTTAAATGGACGTGTTTCTTCTCTTCCTCCCCCCCCCGCTCCTCCCCAACCTCTCCCCCTCCCTGGTCTCAGGGGAAACAGGTCACCTTGCTTCCCCGTCCCAGGCAGAGCTCTGTCCTCGAGCCCACACCCACCACAGGGTGGAGGGAATCCAGACTTTGGGGATGGCACCAGAAGAGCCCAGAAATGGCTCTCTCCCAAATTAACAAGTAAATTGCAACTTCCAATGGCCTCTTTAAAAGCCCCCTGTTCCC